GTGCCCCGAACCCCACAGAGCCCCCCCTGCCTCTGCCTCCCGAGTGCTGCGATTAGAGGCGTGCGCCACCACTACCCGGGCAGAAATTTATTAATTTTTACCGGCATTGTCTTCATCCGGTCATTGAGACAGTCCTGCCTCCCGGCTGGACTCCTTTCTCCTGCCTCCTGCTCCCTCCTTTCTCGTGACTTAGACACTAGCCTCACCTGGGCCTCCCACCCCCATTATCGAGACACTTTCAATTCCATTTCATCCTGCCCGTTATGATACAGCATGAGGGGGACCGTGGCGGATTCCATGGCAGGTGAGGGGTGACCGAGGCGGGGGACAAACAAACACGCCAGGCAGACAAAGCTTGAGTGAGTTTTATTAGAAAGGGGGAGGGGGGTAGAAGGAGAGAGAAAAGAGGTAAAGAGACAGAGAGGACAGAAGAGGAGACAGGAAAAGTCTTGTCTGCCCCAGGGGAACAGCAGGACAGAGCGGAAACAGCATGAGTGGGCGGGGTCTGTCTTTTAAAGGGGTCCTTTGCACCTGTGTGCAGACTATGGAACCCTGAGTGCATTCTGCCAGGTGACAGGGGCATGCCTGCGTCCTTACTCTGCCCCTACCAACTGCTTGAACCTAAGAGTTTAGGGTCAGCTCGGGCAACATAATGAGACCAGGCGTGGTGGTACAATTGGGAAGATAAGGCAGGAGGATCACTGTGGGTTTTGAGACCAGCCTGAGATACACAGTGAGACGTATTCATTCAACAATAACGGCGTGCAGTGTGCTGGTTGTTGAGGTTCGGAATAGCCAGCTATAAGACAGCCCTCCACAGACACATCCTCACAGGGCTCTGAAATGTGATCCTGTTCTAGGCTCTAAGGACTCAGGGTGAAAGGGGGACCCTATGCGGACCCCTCATGAAACTTTGAAGAAGGAAACGGATTAGCAGCAAGGTAACAAAGAAAACAATTTTGCTAGAAATTTCAATGGTGGTGGCACATGCCTTTAATCTCAGCACTCTGGAGACAGAGGCAGGGGGATCTCTCTGAGTTCAAGGCCAGCCCAGTCTACAGAGTGAGTTCTAGGACAGCCAAGGCTACATAAAGAAGCCCTGTTTTGAAAAACAAAAACAGAAGACAATTTCAGAGCTAGGCACGGTGGTACACACCTGCAGTCTTCAGGGAGTGGAGGTACAAGGGTCTAAGCACATTCCAGAGCATTTTGGTCTGCACAGCAAGCTCCAGGCCACTCCTAGCTACTTAGCAAGACCTTGTGATGCCTCTCCCACCCCAAACAAAAAAGCCTAAGGCTTGCTCTAAAATTGTAAAGAAGGCAATTAAAATGCCAGCTGGGTGTTATAGCCCTTTTAGAGGCTGCAGTAGGAGATTCTTGAGTGTGGGCTATACGTTAAGTTCCTGTCTAATAAAATAAAATAGAAGAAGCTGGGTGGCGGTGGTGCACACCTTTAATTGTAGCGTTTGGGAGGCAGAGGCAGGCGGATCTCTTTCAGTTCAGGTCAGCTTGAAATACAGAGGGAGTTCCAGGACAGCCTAGGCTACACAGAGAAACATTGTCTCAAACAAAACGGTGGGGGGGGGGCGCTGGTCGTTGATGGCTTATGCCTTTAATCCCAACACTCAGGAAGCAGAGGCAGGTGGATCTCTGTGAGTTTGAAGCCAGCCTGGCCTACAAGGTGAGTTCCAGGACAATCTCCAAAGCAATACAGAGAAACCCTGTCTCGAAAAAGCCAAGCAACCAACCAAAAAAATAAGACCAAAACAAAACAAAACAAAAAGATAATGCACCTTTAATCCTAGTACCTGGGAGACAAGCACAGGTAGATTTCTGTAGCCAGCCCTGTCTACATAGCAAACTTCAGGCCAGGGCTATATAGTGAGACTCTACCTAAAACACACACACTCTCTCTCTCTCTCTCTCTCTCTCTCTCTCTCTCTCTCTCTCTCTCTCTCTCTCTCTCTCTCTCTCTCTCTCTCTCTCTCTCTCTCTCTCTCTCTCTCTGTGTGTGTGTGAGAGAGAGAGAGAGAGAGAGAGAGAGAGAGAGGTGGCATACTGTTTTATTTTGTTATTAATGGAGTCATGTTATTAATGGATCACGAAGTCTCAGGAACTCTTCACCCACCATCAGAAGTAGGTCCTGTGTCAGTCTCCCTAATCCACTCAGGCTGCAGGTGCTGTATCATTAAGGAAGGCCCCTCAGGTTGGCATCAGTGCCAAGACAAAGTAAGCACAGAGCAGCAGGTGGGGGGGGAAGCATTCTCAGATAAAGCCAACAGCAAGATCAAAGCCTGAGACAGCAAAGAGAGGACTGTGTTTGAAGTGCTGGGGATCTGAACCTGATAAAAAAACGGGGGTGGGGTCCAGAAAAAGCATCAGGGTCAGAAGTATTGGAAAGGCCAGGTATGGTGACGTGGCCCTGTCACTGGGGCATTTGGGAAGCTGAGGCGGAAGAACTTGCAGGAAGTGCATGAAAACTAGCATGGAGCTAGAGAGAGTTCCAGGCCGTCGTGGGCTGCACATGGAGGCTGTCTCAGGAACAAAGCACAACTTTCGTTCTCCACCTGAAATGGGACTCCAATGGAGTGTTTTAGGTTGCTAGTGATAAAATCAGTTTTTTTTTGGTTGTTGTTTTTCAAGACAGGGTTTCTCTGTGTAGCTTTGGAGCCTATCCTGGCACTCGCTCTGGAGACCAGGCTGGCCTCGAACTCACAGAGATCCGCCTGCCTCTGCCTCCCGAGTGCTGGGATTAAAGGCGTGCGCCACCAATGCCCGGCATAAAATCAGTTCTTTCGAGCACAGTTTGGGACGGTTGTGATGGCTACATATAGTCAGCATAAAGTTATAGCTCTTTAAAATCAGCTACAGGAGTTGGGCTTGCTGCCACATGCCTGTAATTTCAGCTCTAGAGGCAGTGCTCAAGGTCATTCTCTTTGACCCTGGGGAGTTAGAGACTAGCCTGAGTCCCTGCATCAAAAACAAAATACAAAACAAAAAAACAAACACTTCAGAGATTTTCTCCTCTCCAATTGTGTCCACGCAAAAGAAGCGGCCTTCACTTCCCTTGAGAATGCAGACACCCTTTTGCCTCTGGGCATTTGCATTAGAAATTTCCCTCTGCCGAGAGACTCCCAGTTGAGCTGGCTCCAGTTCAGGCTTGGCTTAAAAATCAGCCCTGGAAGTCCTTGCAGAAAGAGGGCCTGGGGCAGGCCTTTCTGGCACCCGCAGCCTCCTGCTCGCCACCTCCTCCGGGTGTGCAGTTGTAGGTTTCAGTCTAAACAAGATGTGGTCTGTCTTCCTTACGCTGAGGGTACCGGATCTCCCAAAACGCAGCAGCCACGTGCTGGCCTGATTCTCCAGGAGGGCAATGAAAAGTCTTACTCTGGCCGGGCGTTGGTGGAGCACGCCTTTAATCCCAGCACTCGGGAGGCAGAGGCAGGCGGATCTCTGTGAGTTCGAGGCCAGCCTGGTCTACGGAGCGTGTGTCAGGATAGGCTCCAAAGCTACACAGAGAAACCCTGTCTCGAAAAAACAAAAACAAAAAAACAAAAACCAAAGTCTTACTCTGGGGGCGAGAACCTGCTCCTAGACCTGGTGCATTTTCAGGGCAAGGCAGCCAGGCCACTTTGCTCAACGCTGCAGTCGCTGGACGCATGCGCCTTGCTCAGGTCGCCCCCCCCACCCCGTCTCCATCCATCCTTGCATCCATGCATGCGTGCATGCATATGCTAATCACTGCGCTGGGAAGGACGGCCTCTCCCGGGAATATGCAAATCACATCCTCCGGTGCGGGA